ACACACCGAGCTCCTCATCGCAATTACCTACTACAACGAAGACAAGGTGTTGCTCTCCAGAACTCTCCACGGTGTCATGCAGAATATTCGCGACATCGTCAACCTGAAGAAATCTACTTTCTGGAACAAGGGTGGCCCAGCTTGGCAGAAGATTGTCGTCTGTCTGGTTTTCGACGGTATCGAAAAGACCGACAAGGCCGTATTGGACGTTCTCGCAACCGTCGGTATCTACCAGGATGGTGTCGTGAAGAAGGATGTCGATGGAAAGGAGACAGTCGCGCACATCTTCGAGTACACCTCCCAGTTGTCCGTCACGCCCAACCAGCAGCTTATCCGCCCCGTTGACGACGGCCCTTCCACTCTTCCCCCTGTGCAATTCATTTTCTGCCTGAAGCAGAAGAACAGCAAGAAGATCAACTCTCACAGATGGCTCTTCAACGCCTTCGGCCGCATCTTGAACCCCGAAGTCTGCATTCTCATCGATGCCGGTACCAAGCCTAGTCCCCGCTCGCTGCTCGCGCTTTGGGAGGGCTTCTACAACGACAAGGATCTCGGTGGTGCTTGTGGTGAAATTCACGCTATGTTGGGCAAAGGCGGCAAGAAGCTGCTAAACCCCTTGGTTGCTGTCCAGAACTTCGAGTACAAGATTTCCAACATCTTGGATAAGCCTCTCGAGAGCTCTTTCGGATACGTCTCTGTGTTGCCCGGTGCTTTCTCAGCCTATCGCTTCCGCGCGATCATGGGTCGCCCCCTGGAGCAGTACTTCCACGGTGACCACACTCTTTCCAAGATCCTTGGCAAGAAGGGTATCGATGGAATGAACATTTTCAAGAAGAACATGTTCTTGGCCGAGGATCGTATTCTTTGCTTCGAGCTGGTCGCCAAGGCCGGTCAGAAGTGGCACTTGTCGTACATTAAGGCCGCCAAGGGTGAGACCGATGTTCCCGAGGGCGCTGCCGAGTTCATCTCTCAACGTCGTCGTTGGCTCAACGGTTCCTTCGCTGCCTCTCTATACTCTCTCATGCATTTTGGTCGCATGTACAAGTCCGGCCACAACATTATCCGCATGTTCTTCTTCCACGTCCAGCTCATCTACAACATCCTTCAGGTTATGTTCACATGGTTCAGTTTGGGTTCCTACTACCTGACTACAACGGTTATCATGGATCTTGTCGGTACCGCCGTCACCTCCGACGACCCCGATGTGGCCCGCAGCGGTTGGCCTTTCGGAGACACCGCCACTCCTATCGTCAACGCCCTTCTCAAGTACCTCTACCTGGCCTTCGTTATTCTGCAGTTTATCTTGGCTCTGGGTAACAGACCCAAGGGTTCTAAGTACACCTACATCGCCTCTTTCGTCGTCTTTGGTCTCATTCAATCTTACATCCTGGTCCTTTCGATGTACTTGGTTGTCCAGGCCTTCAAGAAACCCATTGGCGAGCAGATCAGTCTGGACTCTGGCGAGGACTTCGTTGCTAGTTTCTTCGGAGGTACAAACGCTGCTGGTGTCATTCTCGTCGCCTTGGTTACTATCTACGGTCTTAACTTCATCGCTTCCTTCATGTACCTCGACCCCTGGCACATGTTCACCTCCTTCCCTCACTACCTGGTGCTCATGTCGACCTACATCAACATTCTCATGGTCTACGCCTTCAACAACTGGCACGATGTGTCTTGGGGTACAAAGGGCTCAGACAGCACCGAGGCTCTACCTTCTGCGCACGTCAGCAAGGGCGAGAAGGACGAAGCTGTGGTGGAAGAGATCGACAAGCCGCAAGAGGATATCGACAGTCAATTCGAATCGACGGTCAAGCGTGCACTGGAGCCTTTCAAGGAAACCCCGGAGAACGAGAAGCCAGACATCGAAGACTCGTACAAGTCTTTCCGTACCGGTCTGGTTGTGTCTTGGCTCTTCTCCAACACCTTCCTCATCATCGTCATTACGAGTGATAACTTCAACTCGTTCGGCATTGGCGTAAGTTCAAAGGTCCCGAAATACGAGTCAATTGCCATGCTAACTATCATTTCTAGAAAACTGCATCAGCACGTACTGCTTCTTACTTCAGCTTCTTGCTGTACTCTACTGCCGTTTTGTCACTTGTCCGTTTCTTTGGATTCCTGTGGTTCTTGGGCAGGACCGGTATCATGTGCTGCTTTGCGAGACGGTAAACAGACACACGGGGGAGATTATTCAGACAGGCGCCGACCCTCTCGACGCGTGCTGGATGTGTATCAGAGAGAAGACTGTACTCTTGCCAGCTTTGGCTCATTGCTGCAAATCCGCTGCTGTTTTACATTCTGGGCATGTGTTAAGTAATAAAGAACACGGGACTCGGCAGATTCTTGATGAAATGGGCGAAGCTCAGGAAAAGTAGTTTCGATTAAGCAGCATTCATGGCGTTTTACATGGATACAATACCTTACGCTTATTATCAGACAATGACAATGATTTTAAACATGATTCCTCAGTCTACGCAGACGGGTCTTCAGAGGCGAGTGATCAAATTTGAACGTATCTGATTTCACAGACTTATTGCATGCAAGCGAGTCGTAGAACAGAGAAAAAGAAGCTTCCGGCCGAATTGGCGGCTACATGAAAGCGCGTGGGCGTCGGCCGATCACGCTACATAGATGCTGGAATCTCAAAGACCTTTGCGCACCTCTACGCGTAGCCTCAGAATGTTTCCGTCCTTTCATGGCTTCCACTGCATTTCTCCATTTGTTCAGACTGCTGTTGTTCAATAGTTGTTCAACGACCGGGATCTGAGGCAAGCTGACAGGAGTGGCTCTAGGTCGGTAGATCCCCGGGTAAACAGTACACCGATCCTATCTTATCGCAACCAGAAAGTGACCGCATTGACTGGTGCCCAGTTGATCCGCTCCTCCAGGCACCTTCCCGTACCAAGATCGCAAGACTCCGGACAGAGACGATTACCTTATATTTAGCTTGTTGTTCAACTGCTTGGTCTCCGCGCAAACACCACTGATTCAGGAAAACGCCGTCTTCCACCTAGGTCGTGTGCGTGCCTTCTTTCCCGCCTCGCCATTCCTCCAGGGCGCCCCACCAACTCCTCCCACCAGACACCCCGCCAGAGATCGGACAAGATGCTAAAGATTTGGTCTATGGTATGTGACCACCGGAACCTCTCGGTTAAGGGGACTGCTGACATCTCTTACAGAAGAAGGAGCAGCAGAAGGCTGAGAATGCCGACGCTGCGGGTGGCAAGAAGAAGAAGGTGACTGCCGCGCAACTTCGTGTGCAGAAAGGTCTGAACCCCTCAGCCAGCCAGGGGGGAAAATTATGATCTCGTTGCTGACGTTCGCTTCAAGATCTCTCGGAACTATCTCTCGGATCAACAATGAAGACCGACTTCCCTGACGCTGACGACATTCTCCACTTCACGCTTACGATCGAGCCCGATGAGGGCATGTACCGGACCGGACGATTCACCTTCACGTTCGACATCAACCAAAACTTCCCCCACGAGCCGCCGAAAGTCCGATGCAAGGAGAAGATCTACCACCCTAATATCGATCTGGAGGGCAAGGTTTGCTTGAACATTCTGCGCGAAGATTGGAAGCCCGTTCTCAACTTGAACGCGGTCATTGTCGGACTTCAGGTATGTTTAAGAGCAGAAAGCACGACTGTGGGTGAGCACCGACTGACAGACCACTTTTCGCAGTTCCTATTCCTCGAACCAAATGCCTCTGACCCTCTGAACAAGGAGGCTGCCGATGATCTTAGACTCAACCGTGAGGGATTCAAGCGCAATGTCCGGACCGCGATGGGCGGTGGTACTGTCCAAGGGCAGAGCTACGACCGTGTGTTGAAATAAGATCTACAAGAGCAAGGGGATCGCGTCCTTCTCGCTTCTGAAATTTTCTCACACGACATAACCCTTTGGCGAGGCAAGAGGCCAGCCCGGATTTGATACCAGAGACGGACGGACAGGCTGCTGGTTCGCGGAAGGGCGGAATGCGCATCTGAGGGGTCGGTGGGCATCAAAAGCAAGCATCGTCGTCAGGCGTTTGGGGAGACAAGATTACAAATTACAAAAGGTCAAGGCTCTAGCTAGATATCAAGCCCAGTTTAGAGATAACCATAGCGAGAGCACAGCACAGAAGGGGTTTGTTGATGCACTCTGAAAGGCGGAAGTCAGACGGAGGACGAAGATGTAGTGACTAGCGGGAGGAAGTGATGAGCTTCGAGAGATCGTAGAAGCATAGCTGGAATGCAAACAGCGTTGCCGTGTCACGGCAGGAGAAGATCAAACATGGAGAATGGAAACCAATCAACGGGCCGATTGACTTCCCCATAATGGTATCCGTACTGCGTTCAAGCAAGTCAAAAAGAAGAGTCAGAGCTCCTCAAGAGAGGAGTCACAGCAGCTCAGCGCCGGCGACCGGTCAGCAGCTATAGCTATAGAGAAAGGCCGAAGGCATAGGTCAACGGCCGTAGCCGGCGCCCAGTAGTCGGTGAGATTCCGCCTGCGGCCCATCTGGTGTGACTCCTGTCTGGCCACTGGGCTACGATGTCGGTGTGGTGGGCTCTCCCCTGCTCCACAGCACCCGCCTCGCCGGCAATAACGTTGATTGCTCCCCGAGGTTCTTAGGTAAGGCCGCTGTCAAATGAGAACCAGACCAAGTAGAGGTTACCCGCAAGGCCCAGCAAAGTCCCTGCCTTCTCCAAAGTCCCCAGTACCCGCTCTCCCACTTGGAGGACCCCCTACCGAACCCCGGACGCTTCCAGACATCTTCCCCACCATTGGCACAGGCCAGCAGCAGGACGACGCAGCAGGCTAACCCACCAACGACCAAGCTGGGCCGAAGTCGGGGGTCAGCTCGCCCGTCTCTACGCCAGTAAAAAATTTCCCAATTCCAAACGCCTTTTTCCCATCAGTGAAACTCTGTTTTCTTCATCCATCTCTTCCTTCTTCTTCCTTACAATTGACTTGTACGGATACCCTCTCCACTCCCTCCTCCCCCAACACACAGTCAGAATGGCCTCCCGCAGCTTCTCCAAGGCGCTTCGTTCGCCAATGGCCCGCCAATTGGCGGCCAAGCCTGCCACCCAGCAGCGCACCTTCGTTGCTGCCCGCCAGCTCGTCCGCGCCTCTGCCCAGGTCAACAAGGCCTTCGTCGCTCCTGCCCAGCAGCAGGCTCGCGGCGTCAAGACCATGGACTTCGCCGGCCACAAGGAGGACGTCTACGGTAAGGCAAACGATCAGAGCTGACGAGTCTTTTTGCCTCGTTGCGAATGACTCGCCAGAGAAGACAGAGGGAGAGATTTGCTGACGTTTATGCCACAGAGCGTGCCGACTGGCCCCAGGAGAAGCTTCTTGTGAGTCACAAACAATCATGGAGGCTTGAAAGGGAGTCAATTGGAACTGACAATCGTTTGTAGGAGTACTTCAAGGACGACACCCTCGCCCTCATCGGCTACGGCTCCCAGGGTCACGGTCAGGGTCTTAACCTCCGTGACAACGGCCTCAACGTCATCGTTGGTGTCCGCAAGAACGGTCAGTCCTGGAAGGACGCCCAGCAGGACGGCTGGGTTCCCGGCAAGAACCTCTTCGATGTCGATGAGGCCATCTCCCGCGGTACCATCGTCATGAACCTTCTCTCCGACGCCGCCCAGTCCGAGACCTGGCCCGCCATCAAGCCCCAGCTCGTCAAGGGCAAGGTGCGTCATTTCTCACACAATTGAGCAACGGCTCAATTGGGGCTTCAAAGCTGACATTGAATACAGACCCTCTACTTCTCCCACGGCTTCTCCCCCGTCTTCAAGGACGTCACCCACGTCGACGTCCCCAAGGACATCGACGTCATCCTCGTCGCCCCCAAGGGCTCTGGCCGCACCGTCCGCTCCCTCTTCCGTGAGGGCCGTGGTATCAACTCCTCCTTCGCCGTCTTCCAGGACGTCACTGGCAAGGCCAAGGAGAAGGCCCAGGCTCTCGGTGTCGCCATCGGCTCCGGCTACCTGTACGAGACCACCTTCGAGAAGGAGGTCTACTCCGACCTTTACGGCGAGCGTGGCTGCCTCATGGGAGGTATCCACGGCATGTTCCTCGCTCAGTACGAGGTTCTCCGTGAGCGCGGCCACTCCCCCTCCGAGGCCTTCAACGAGACCGTCGAGGAGGCCACTCAGTCCCTGTACCCCCTGATCGGTGCCAACGGCATGGACTGGATGTACGAGGCCTGCTCCACCACCGCCCGCCGCGGTGCCATCGACTGGTCCCCCAAGTTCAAGGACGCCCTTAAGCCCGTCTTCAACAGCCTGTACGACGCCGTCAAGGATGGCTCCGAGACCAAGCGCTCCCTGGAGTACAACTCGCAGAAGGACTACCGCCAGAAGTTCGAGGCTGAGATGGAGGAGATCCGCAACCTTGAGATCTGGAGAGCCGGCAGAGCCGTCCGGTACGTTTTGATAACACTTGATTCCAAAAACAATGATGATCACTGGCTAACGTCTATCTTTTCTACAGCTCTCTGCGTCCCGAGAACCAGAAGTAAGAGGTTCGGCGTTTTTGCTTTGGGAGAAGATAAAATTTTTACTCGGAATGGCCATTTCTTAACCACTGTGCCGGGGACGGGGGACTTTTGTACTTTATATGACCGGATTCTAGGGGATCTGGGCCTGGTTCAAAAGTTTGCATCTTGACTTTTGGGATCCTTCAATACCATTTCTTTTGCTGTCCATGAACACAATGCTTCAATCATCTCGTCGTTTTTCGTCAATTGGTGATTGCGCAAATGTCTGCCAGCTCCCGGAGATGTCGGGTTATGCGGGGACGCAAGACTGACTCGTCAGGCCCGTTGATACTTTTCACAGATCGCGCTAGTTCCTGCTGGACCCGAACCAAATTGGCACCCCCACGCCATCGGTAGTGTTTTTGAGTTTGGGGACATTTGCTGACAATGCAGCGGCGGTGTGGTGTTGCATGCGCCTGCAAGTTCCATGGCAATGTTGAATTCATGGTCACGACTTCAGAAGTTCAGCCTCCGATGCTCGCTCAAGTTTGAGAACGCTCAGTGCCAGTAAATTTTGATCAGTCAGACGTGCCCGGGAGTTTGCTGGACGGAAGAAATTATCTCCCCTATTCCAATCCGTGGTGGGAAATGACGTGGTCACTGTCCTCTGGCTAACGACACATTCAATCGTGCATAACGAGTACTGCCCTTGCTGAGAAATGAAGGCACCGATTCACACGTATAAATACTGTTGTCTATTTTGCCTAATTTCCTTACTTTCATCTCGACCGTCGCTTTGCTGCTGCACTTTCACGTGCGTCCCATTTGACCAATTTTCAGCATCGCACAGGCAGTGCCCTTCCGAAACTCTGAAAGCCTAACGTGAAATGTCGGAGCTGGGTCGCTGCAACTTGCAAGGTCTAGCTAGAGAGGGTCATAGCTGAATTGATTTTGGTTGTTATATTAGGATCCTTAGAGTTGGCACAAGCTTCACCTTAACACTATGCGTGCGTGAGTCTTTGAAAAAAGGCGATTCGAGAACAAAGGCCAACCTCACCTTGCGAGCTATCGGTGACCTCGGTGAAGTGCCTCGGTGTGCGAATTTGCTGTAGCGACCCTGAGCCCCACCAACCCCCTTTGTCTGTGCATTCTCTCGGTAGTCGTTGCTCTGTCAACAGCAAACAAGCCTGGGCCCCTTCGCACCCCCTTCATCTCACAAGCGAGCCCAAAATGGGGTTTTGCTAGACATCCAATCGAAATATCAATCAATTGACGATTTACCTCACCTTAGTTTTCGCGCTTCCAACGCTTGCAAACCAAACGAAACCTCTTCTAGCTTTCTGGAGTTCGCGCACAATGACGCCGTTGTCACCGACAAACGAATCAAGACTGAACACTGCAACGACCCTAACTGAAGACGCAACGAGCCGCGGTTTCTTTGAGCACTGCGAAGTGGTCCACTCCCGCACTGAGACAACCACGAGCGGCGGTAATGAGAGCAGCAGCGACAGCTCCTCCACCACTACAACCACAACCAACACCGCAATCACCTCTTCGCACTCCGTAGACGACAACACCCGAGACCAGGAGAACATGCCACCTTCTCCCTCGGATTCCTCGCCGTCGCCGCCGCCCTCTGCGCCGGCGACGGCAATCAAGCCGCAGCGCCACTCACGCGTCATGTCTGGCACCGCACCCTCACCGCTCAAGCTACTCGCCGGCTCCGAGACAACGGAAAAGCAAGCGCGGAGCCCGCTTCGCAAAACAGTAATCTCGCCTGACGGCGTCAAACGCTTCCCTATCAGAGTCAGTAACCCGTCCGTCGAGCCCGCGTCACGTTCCATCTCTCCTCCGACCGTCTCTCCTCCGCCTCGCGAACGCACAATCAGTCTCGAGGACGCCATGCGCGACAACGAGGGCCTGAAGCACGCCATCCAGATCTTCGAGGACGACGATACGGAGCTGGAGAATGACGAGACCATTGGCGGCGACACGACCACAATGAGCGCGGGCGAGGGCGAGGAGGAGCACCCCGACTTGGGCCACGCGGGCTACGAGGACCAGAGCAGTCTCGCCAATCCCGACGAGTCGATGATGAGTGCATTCAGCACCTTCTCTGCCGTTCCCAACCTGACCATGTTTGCGAAACTCGGCCAGTCCCCCACAAAGTACGCGAGCGTCAGCGGCATGACCCCGCGAGGGAGACCAGAGACCGTGCACGAGCAGCGGGAGACTCCAAGGCGGCATTCGGGACAGGACTCTGATGGTAACACTACCAACCTGTTGGACTTCACGGCCAGCCAGCGGTTCCCGCACAAATCGCCGTCGCGGCGGGGCAACACCTCACCCTCCAGAGGAAACCCTAATGCCACTCCGGCCCGCCAAATGTCGAACCTCCTCGACTTTGACATTCCCGCTCTGCCTACCCCCCGCAGCATTCCGACCATTACACCCAGAGAACTCGAAAGTCTAAAGTCTAATTTCCTGTCGGAAATTAGCAGCCTCAAAGCATCGCTATTGGGCAAGGAGGCAGAGGTGACCTCTCTGAAGACGGCTGTGGGCGATGCGGAAAAACGAGTCGGCGAGAGCTTGGAGCAGGCCCGTGAAGAGCGGACCATGCGAGAGCAGGTCGCCGAAGAGAAGGAGATGTGGGAGAAGAGCAGCCGCGAGATGGAAAAGGTCCTTCGGAGCGTAAAGGAGGAGATTGTCCACACACAGCAGGAGCGCGAGGAGCTCGAATCCAAGCTTGCAGAGAGTGAGGGACGACGCGAGGCCGCCGAGACTATGGCTCAGGAGGCCGAGAGTAAGCTGGCTAGTTTCCGCGCCGGCAAGTCCACTGACGACAAGCCCTCCTCGCCCAGGGGCGGTGCGGCTGCGACCTCCAAGGAGGTTGAGATTGCGGTGGAGCGCGTGGCACGCGAGCTGCACGCTCTCTACAAGGGCAAGCACGAGACCAAGGTTGCGGCGCTCAAGAAGAGCTACGAGACCCGCTGGGAGAAGAAGGTGCGCGAGCTGGAGATCAAGATTGAGGAGCTCACCGAGGAGAACGACAAGATCCGCCGCGACAACACCATCACCCGCGTCGATCCCGCCCAGGTCGCCGCCGAGGAGGAGTTCAAGGCCCAAGCCGTCCGCGACTCGGCCCACATCAAGGAGCTCAGCGCCGACGTCCACAGGCTCGAGGCCGTCGTCATGTCAGTCAAGAGAGACAATTCGGAGCTTCGCGACCTCCTCGCCCAGGAGCGCGTCGAGAAGGGCGAGCTGGTTCAGCTCGCCGAGGAGATGATGGCGATCCAGAATGCCGCGCCTCCCCCGCCAACTCCGGCGCCCAAGCCGGCGCCGACACCTGTTGCCTCGCGGACACCCGGTCCCCCGGTTAGAAGCCACACGGAGAACAACTTCCGCAGCAGCATCGGCCGCAGCTCGGGCCTTAAGGCGCCCGGATCTATTGCCGCGCGCGGGTCCCTCCACGAGCGTAACGGCAGCGCCGGTCCCACCACCAAGGGCCTTCCGAGACCCAGACCGATGAGTGAGTTCGGGCCCCGGAGCGGCATCATGAGCTCGATCGAGAAGATGGGCAACTACCGCGGACGCGGGGACTAGAAGACCCAGTCGTCTTGATGGACAAACGACCTCTTTTTGATCGGTCGGTAATACCATACCAACCGCTTCAATTTTTTCTTTTCTTAATCTTTAAATTTACCTACGAAACGAACGAAACCAAACGATGAACGGAACAAAGCATTAAAGTGGCGGATGGAGAGTGAACGACAGCAACTGTCTTAGTGAAGAGAATAGGAGAAGGAAGGGGAGAGATAGCAGAAGAGGATGAAGAGCATTGACGTAACGAACTGGCGTCTACGGGGTCCTGTTTTTCCGGGCTTTTTTGCTTTGGTTATTTCCATGTTTATGGATAACAGGGCTTTTGTTTATTTGTTCCAACTCCCCCATCCCAATGACACTGAAATGACTACAAGGGGAAAAGGGAAACGAAACGAAAGGTGGTGGCGTTTTTGATAATCTTGTTGTTGTTTAATGGGCGACGACCACTACATCCCTTCTTTTCCGTGTTGGAGTTTCACCATACCTGTTGGACGAGTTAAACTCCACGTTTGGAACCCAACACCCTTTCTTCTACCATAACTCTTTGAATTGGTAATGTTCAGTTTTTTTATTGCACATATTCAACTTTTCCCTGATCCTGTCTCTCTCTCTCTCTCTCTCTCTCCTCCTCGTGTGTGTGTACGTGTTGTGTATTACGTGTGGGCGTGTGGGCAGATGAGAATGTGAGTCCGAGTATGGATGTAAGCCAATTATGTGTCTTTTTCTGGCTATTGTCTAATGTCTCGGGCCTGGTGCTCGCGGCGGCGGCGGTGTGTGTATCTGTTTTGTATGTTTGTTATGGACACGTGAAGTCCGCATGACGGTGCCGTCTTTTGTTTCTCAGGAAAAGATGGACTGCTGAGGTGGTCTGCGAGCTTATGGGATGACGACCGATCTGGAGGCCTTGCCATGGGATGGATGGTTGGTATCTAGAGATCCGATCGATGAGGTGTATGTAGTGTCATCGTCGCGGGATGAGGTGGAGATGGTGGTGGTTAGCTTTTTGGTATGAAGGTAACTGAGCGAAAATTGGAAAATGTGCATGAAGATAGATGGATGGATACTTGCGTGAATGTGTGTTGTATATCTGTGCCGTCCATCTTTCTTTGTGATGTCAGATGGTGAAGTTTCTGCAATGGGCAGAATGCACATTGTGAGATTCCGTCTGCCGGTTTGTCTACCTGGTAAGTACCCGCCCGTCTGAAAGGCAGGTGAGGTTCTTGACGTTGACCAGGAATAGGTATACATACACATACAGGCTGTAGAAAGGCGTTCTCAAAGCCTTCACATCGAACATCTGACTTAATGAGATAGCAAGTATAATTAATGACTGGGCATTACGATGGTGCCCTGAGAGAATGACTCATTTAATCTTCATCGTGTGTAAGAGGCGCTTGTACATCCGTAATTCATAGAGATGTTTGTTCACCTACGAGGCA